TGAAGATGCAATATTGTGTCTCATGTGCCATTCACTCCAAGGTTGTTAGGGTTCGTTCTCGTACTGACAGGAGGGTCCGTGAGCCTCCACAGCGTTTCAGACGCCCAAGGGTACTGATCTATACTTCTGTTATCTCTAAATTTTCTCTTCAAAATTCTTTATTGGAATCAATATTTAGGTGCAGAAGTCTATTATTACTACCTATTCAGTAGGTTTTACTGATTTGAATCCCGTTTTCGTTGCTGACTTATATTCTGCAAAACAATTTGCATGCTATGAAATGTTCAATACCTATATCAACTACTTGAACGTATGAAACGTTTTGTGTTATTGAGAAAGGAGTTCCTTTAAATCTATTGGGAAGTCTTGAATTTGTGAATCTATGTCATTCGGATGTTTACGTGTGGATTGTTTCTATTTCAGGATGATCTTCCTAAGGCTGGTCAAGCTCCACGCCCAGCCGGAGGTGCTCCTCCTCCTGCTGCTCGTACCTAAGCGCCTGCGTTTTGAACAACTGCCTTTAGGCTTTTGGGTTTTTTTGTTTAATTTGAGCAAATCTTATGGTATTTTGAGATGTGTTTTTGAAGTGGAATTTTTTAAATTTAGTTTTACTTGGACACCATTAAATTTATGCATGCAAATTTTAAGATATCAGACTTATTGTTCTATGTTATTTGTTATATATAGCCACATTACAGTTAAACTCTATTTACTCACCCATAGATAATTGTCTTGTGGTGGTTTGATACTATGCTACATAGACGAACAAATAAGTGAAATAGTTAAAATCAATACGTATTTAAGTTGTGGTATAATGGTTCTGTTTCATCGATTTTGTCCGGATCTCACCTTTCTTCTGAAAAAAGGGAAGGAGTTAGAAAAAAGGGAAGGAGTTCCCAAAATCGACTAAATATGTTAAAATCGTTGAACATTGAACCATAGTTTTAACATTGAAATGAGAAAAAGTGAAGAGCTTTATAGGATATTAGTATCATAATTTCATATTACATTTGCTTTCTTGTTTTTCATAATAGTGTTATGGACCTCCATCTTCAAGATCAATTCTCATTAAAAGACAAAAAAATCCTCACATGATTAGTTTTAATTTTATAACTAACTATTACTCTATGAAGAAAGGGAATAAGTGATTATGAGATTGTTTATTCCATTCTCAATGTGGAACAAAATTAAAACTTATAATACATGAATAACTATTTTGGGATTAATTATTTGTATCCCAACCTAACAAAAAATAAGTTTATTGTAAATTTAATTATTCCTTTATCACTCAAACCAAACAATCCCTTAACGTCCTCCTCAAGAAGTGAAGTTGTTCACTAGCTTAGTGCCATTTTAAAAATATTACTAGCTGAATTTTCATTCAATTCTTACCAATACTAGATAAAACCAATATTAATATATGAAGGAAATAGTAATGTGTTGGATTTTCATAATATAAAGTTGACTAAATTTTTAATATCTCTGTTCATTTTTACTTGTTCAATAATAACTTGGAATATTCGTCTTTAAGTTGAAACAAAATAAATGACAATTATACTATATTCTCTTCGTCCCAATTCACAGAAACCTTTCAAAGTTTGAGATTCAACCAAATCTTTATTTGACCATAAATTTCATATATCATTTAAGTATCTTAAATTAATACTTATAATTATTACTCTCTCTATCCACTTTTAAATGTCATGTTGCGCTTTTTGAAAGTCAATTTGACTAATTTTTAAAGTTATATTAGATTAAATTAATTTGATATTTTAAACAAAAAATTTAGATATTAAAAAACTATATGAAAAGTACTATAAATTTCAATTATTTGCATATCAACATGATGAAAAAATATAGTAAAATGTTAGTAAAAGTTATTATCGTTTAACACTAAAAAAGGAAATATAACAATTATTATCATACCTTTTTTTATAATTTTCATATATAAATTAGGACATATGGAGTATTACTTTTTGAACGCAATAAATTTAATATTTTGAGAAACTTATTAAAAATGACAAGTGAGTGTTGAAAAAATTAGCGAACAATCATGTACCGTTCAAAAAGAGTAGGACTTTCTAATCCTACGGTAGAAATTCAAAACACGTCATCAATCCAAGTCATTTTTTTTTATCCCCGCCAAAATCTTATAAAAATTCAAAAAAATGGCGCTAAAGTTCAAAAATCTAAAAAAACCAAAATTTTCACCAATATTCCCTCCTTCGTTTCTTCTTTAAACCTTCCAAATTCCCACAAACTTTTTTTCACCAAAGATTTTTCTCTCTGTTTTTTCCTTGTTTTCGATATCTAGAGCTTTTTCTGTGTTAAGGGTTGTTATCAAGATTCAGAAAAAATGGCTGGTGGTGGAGCATCGACTAAGGCATCGAATGGTGGTCCTACTAGAGTGAGGAAGAGGGTTGAAGTTGAATCTGCTGCTGCTGCTGCTAGTCTTAAGCGTGCTAAGGATGGAAGTGCTTTTGCTCGTTGGTATGAACTGATTTTTCTATGTTAACTGATGCTTTTATTTTTTTTGCTGTTTGTCATATGGGTTTGTAGGAGGGTTTTGTTGTTTATTGATATGGGTGTGGTTTTTTAATATAGATTTATGATTTTCTGGTGAAAAATTTGATGATAAGTAGCGGGGTTGTTTGAGTTGTTAAATGTTACATTTGCAAATTCATGAACTGGGTTGCTGTTTTTTCTGCTTATTTGGGTGTGATTCGGATTTTGTGGTGAAAAAGTTATTGAAGGTAGTGGGTGTGTTTGGATTGTTGAAGGTAACATTTACAGATTCATGAACTGGGCTGCTGTTATCTTCCTGTTTGGGGTGTGTGGTGATAAATAGAGTATAGCGTTTAAGTGTATGTAAATGTTGGAGCAAATAGTGATATGTATTCTTTCCTGGTAAAAAAAAGTCAATTGAAGGTTACATTTGCAGATTCATGAATTGAGTTGCTCTTTTCTTCCCCTTTTTTGGCTGATAATTAGAGTTAGATGTGTGATTTACTGGTGAAAAAGTAAATTGAAGTTAGTGGGTGTGTTTAGATCATTGAAGGTTACATTTGCAGACTCATGAACTGGGTTGCTATTTTCTTCCCATTTACAGGGTGAGAAAGTGTCGTGTTTGCTCTATCCTTAACTAGATGTTTCAGTTTTGTGTCTTGAGTATGCCACCCCCTAATGAGTATTGTAGTGTGTGATTTAGATTTAGTCAGAGCTCCAATGGCATCAGGACACTTGATGGGAAATCGAAAACAAAATAAAATGTTGGAGTAGGTGGAGATACACAGTTTTTGGGTGAATATAGTGGGTGTATTTGCTTATTAGCAGAAGGCTAAAGGTTACAAAATTGGTGGAAGAACCTGGTTCTGTGCTGTGTTATTGTGGTTCAATGTTCATTCTGTATAAGATTTGAATGAAAAACACTAAGGAATATCTCTTTTTCTGCTGTTTTTTGTGATGTATATTGAATTTTTTCTTTCATTATTGCAGTGAAGAATGCAGCAAAGATGTGCCTATAGCATTGATTAGCTTCCACAATTGTAGCCTTGATGCCAAAATTAAGATGAACTTGGGTACTAATACTTTTGCCTTTGTTATCTCTTTTCACTTGTAATCAATCTTATTGGGTATTTCACAATGGTCAGTCTCTGTACCTAATCATATGATGAAGCTTATTTATATAATCAAAATGTCAAATTTCATGTTCTATGTGATCTTGGTGAATTTGGGGCTGTGAGCATTTTGTTAATGGGAAAATTTGTTTGTGCAGAGGCTCAAGTTGTGGAAAATCAGACTGAAGTGAAGAAACCAGCAGCAAAGTAATTTTCTAGAACTTTTGTTATGCTATTGTTATTGTTCTATGCGGTTCTTTGCCTTTGGTTTTCTAACATTGTGTAAAATTGCACAGGAGCAAGGAGAAATCAACAGAGCCAAAGCCTAAAAGGGAAAAGAAACCCAAGAATCCAAATGCTCCTAAACGGCCTCCTACTGCTTTCTTCGTGTTCATGTAATCACTCACTCTTTTGTTTGTATCACCTTTTGCATTTATATCTTGTTTGTTCATGTATAGATGTGCTCAAAAAATCTTTAGCAAAGTTTTGACATGAAGTAAAAATCTTGCAGGGATGATTTTAGACAGACATTTAAGGCTGCAAATCCTGATTGCAAGAGTGTCTCCACGGTAATGTTGAACATACCTGCTCCTGATGCCTTTTTTTGTTGTATTTCCTTTCGATAACGCTAATTGCTTTATATGTTGATCACTCTAGGTTGCTAAGGAGGGTGGTGAGAAATGGAAGTCCATGACTGATGAGGTGAGTGGCCTGAGTCTATAGTTTTATACGAGCTTGTCGTGTTGTTCCTAATGTGATTCTTACTCTTATGATTCAAATGGTTTCACAGGAGAAAAAACCATATCAGGAAAAGGCTGCAGAGCTCAAAGCAGCATATGAGAAAGCCTTAAAGTCTAACACTGATGCTGATAATGCCAATGTAGGCTCTTGTTTTTATGCTAATCTTAAGTTTTCAACTGTCATGTTTACCTTTTCAACTCTAACATCTAAATTAACAATTCAGGATGACGATGAGGAGCCTGAGAAGGAAGTAAAGGAAGAAATAGTGGTAGATGAGGAAGTGAAGGATGAGATAGAAGTAGATGAGGAATAGAGCTGTTAGTTTTTGAATTGGTGTCACTATCTTCAAGATTCTTGAATTGACTAGTTTCGAGAGCTTATGTAAATTTTTGATTCAATTGTCAACTTAGTCCTACTTGAAGTAGTTATATATGAAAATTTATGGTTTAGTTCTTGCTTGCAAAAGTCTTCGGAATGAATTTCTTATTATAGCTATCTAGTTGAAGTAATGATGCAAGTTCTCTTGTGAATTGAGTTTGTGATTGATCATGCGACAAGAATCATTCAAGTGAATTTATTCATTTCATATTGAATTTATGTGAAGTAAACACTGACTAACAATGTGAGATGATAGAGTTGTACAAGTAGTACTAGAATTCAAAAAAAAAAGAAAAGTAAACTGTTTGTTTGTTAACAAACATAAATTCCTATAAATGGAGTCAGCAGTTACTGGCCCAACTTATCTTGTTTCATTCCCTTACAAGGCGGCAAAGGCTTGCCACACAAGCATAAATTGTGGGCATAGGCAGCTCCAGGGAAGATATTGAATGGTCTGCCTTGTGGTATTTCACCACATAATCTGTTGGCTCTGAAGTTTGCATGTTTCAATGCTTCAATCCCCAACAAGCTATCTGGTATTTTCCCTGAAAGTCTGTTGATCGATAAGTCTAACCATTGCAGCTTCACTAGTGATCCTAAACTTACTGGAATTGTACCAGTAATCTGGTTTCTTGATATATCGAACCTCTCAAGCTTATCAAGATTCGATATTGAAGTTGGGATTTGACCTGCAATCTTGTTGTTTCCTATGTTGAGAACTTTCAGGTTTAACCCACTGACGAACTCTGGGATGCTCCCAGAGAGTTGGTTGTTTGAGACGTCGATTGCTTCCAAGAATTTGCTTGTCTTGTTGCTTAACATCCTCGAAAGAGACCCGAATAGTTGGTTTGAATGAAGATCAATAGATGAAATCCCATCAGGCAATTTGATCACAGCAACATCAGATTTCAACTGGTTGTTTGATATCTTCCCCTTTTGCAAGCTTGACATTCTTGCAAAGAAACTCGATATCCCACCTGTGAAGGCGTTATCCGACAAGTCAATAGAGTTCAATGAATCAGGCCTAGTGAAATTCGGAAGCGTCCCACGAAGCTTACAACCTGCTAAATTGACATCAGAAAGCTCTCTAGTCCTAATCCATTCAGGTACTATTCCAAGATTGAACTTGTTATAAGACAAATCTATTGATAAAAGTGAAGGAAGCCCTTTAGAGAAAGCAATAGGCAAAGGATCTAAAAGTTCATTTCTAGACAAACTAAGGTTCCAAAGATTTGGTAATCCTGCAATAGACTCAGGGATTTGACCTGTCAACTTGTTAGAACTCAATGACAATGAAGTAAGTGCTTTCATCTTCCCAATTTGAGTTGGAATTCTCCCTGTTATTCGATTATGATCCATCGATAAAAATGACAGCTTGAGCAAACTACACAAAGAAACAGGAACCTCCCCTGACAATTCATTACTTGAAAGATCAATATATGTCAAATTTTGAAGCTGTCCAAGAAAATTCGGAACAACCCCGGATAGTAAATTGTGGCTCAGATCCAAGGACTGCAAGTTAACAAGATTTTTGAAACCAATTGGGATAACCCCACTTAGCATATTGTCTGTTAAACTCAACTGCTGCAGATTCTTGAAATTTCCTAATACAGAAGGTACATGTCCTGTCAAATGATTACCACTAAGTGAAAGTGTTTGAAGTGATTCCAAATGAGATAAACCAGAAGGTATATCTCCTTGTAGTGAATTGCCATCCAAGATCAACTGCTTCAATCTTGAAAGTTTCGAAAAACTTTCCGGTATAGCACCAGCAATATGTTTCATTCCACTTATAATCAATGTCTCCAAGAAAACCAAATCACCAAGAGATGATGACAAAGTACCCTTCATGTAAACACTAATGTCTCTCTCAGAAGGTGTTTGTAACACCAATCTATTCACTCTCCCTGTAGAAACATCACATTCTACACCTTCCCAACCTCCTCCACAACAATCTTTACCTGTCCATGATGACAGAAAATCAGTAGTATCCTTAGAAATCTTATCTTTGAAGCCAAGAAGAGCAAGTCTATCAGTTTCAACACAAATTTGGGGTTGTTGGGCTAGTGAGAACAGATGAAAGAATGATGAAATGAACAAAATCTTGAAAACCAACATCAGAAAATGCATTTTGGTAAGTGGCCTTGGGGTTTTGAAAAAAAAAATAATCTTGACTTTGGAAGAAACAAAAGGGTGTATGTATGTATAGTTTATGATAAAAAAATTGAAAAAGAAGAAAGATTGGGTTTTTCTTGTTTATTCATCACTTAGACAAGAAGGTACAATGATGGAAAAAAGATATTGGGAAAAATTTGAAGGGAGAAACAGAATGATTTGGTCTGAACAAGTGTTTCACTTATTTATAGAAAGAAATAACCTTAAAAGTAGCAACTGTTATTTATGGTAAAAAGATTGTTTTTTTTAAAATTAAAATCAAATTGAGCTGTCGTGGATTAGTAAGTATTCTTTTATTCTTAACCAAATTATCTCGAGTTTTGAGTCATCCCCTTTGTTATAGTGAGTGTTTTACCACCACACAAGATACAAGATGAAACTTTTCTGTGCTAATTCAAATTTAATCGGGTTCGAATATGAATGTTAAACATTGGATGGAATTTTTTTGTTTTCTTAGGTAAAAAGATTGTGTTTGTTAATCAACCAGAGTTGTTGTGGACTGGTAAGTAGTTCTTTTACCCTTAACCAAGTTTTTTTAATCAATGAGAATTATGGTGGACTGATAAATATTTTTGCATCCTTGTCAATGAAATATAATACAAATTACAGTAAATTACAGTTTGAAATTAAAACCAACAAAAGTGTTCTATTGACTTTCTCCTCCAGAATATAACAGTCCAACAACATTTTATAACTCAAATAACTCTGGATTAGTTGTATATCTCGGATTTATAAGTGAGTCTTTTACCACACAAGATAAGAATTTTCAATGCTAATTTCAAATTTAGTCGGATCAAATATAAATTACCCAACACCGAACAGAGATTTTGTTTTGTTTTGTGAATTTATGAGGATTCACATGTCTGTAAAAAAAAATTTTGTAAATTTTGACCGTTTGGTTAAGGCTCACTGTCACGAGTATCCTACAGCACATTGGAACGTTGGAGCGCACTAAATGGGTTCAAAATTCTTTCCCACCCTTTGGGGAACATTCCACTAAGGTTTTTTTAATTTATTTTTCTATTTCACCTCTTTCGTTAATTGGGGGCGGAGCTACAATTCTGCTTATTGGTTCGATAGAATTTTATATTTTGGCGAAGATTTTTTGATTGTGTTGAAAAAAGTACTTAATATGTGTAGTAGTTTGTTTAGAATGTAATAAGTCGTCTTTTGTAAAATTCAGAATTTATGGAGTCAAAATTCTAGTCGTGTCTCAGTGCCTATAAAAGTGAGATTATAGTAATTGAAGCAGATAAGAAAATAACAATGTTAATCTAAAATTATTTTTGAAGGAAGTCGTTGTTAAGACCTACAATCTCTTTGAAATCCATACAAAATGTGATATTATGAAAAAAAATGATTTATATAGGCGATATAAATTGACATTAAATTTTAGTTATGTTCGTATATTCACTTCAAGTTCAACCTTCCTTGAAGTCCGGTGAATATCCATAGTATGTTATGTGAATTCACGAGAATTCAATAACTTTTGTCTAAATCCTATATACGTCAAGAATATATCAATTATTTATAAATATTTAGCTGTAAACTAAATTATGAGTATTAACTTCAAATTAATATAAAATCTCATCAATTTTTAATCTTAAATTTATATACCAATTGAAAATGTAGAAAACGTCATGAATTTAGCAATGATTCATATAACTAATCCTTTTTTTTTACTTGGGATTGTAAATTAGTACAAATGTACAACTCTTGCATTTAATTTAAATAATTTTTGCTACAGCTGTGAAATTTGACATACCATAAATAAGAATTGAAAAAAAATAATTTGATTTTTGAACACCAATTTATTAGGTGAAGCAATTTTTTTATGAAGTAAATTTCTTTAATAGTCAATCAAATTATGAAAAATATTTCACACACTAATTTTTCACTTTATTTTTTGTGACAACAAAATCATTTAAGTGTTACATATTCTTATATAAAATTACCCAAGATTGACCCAAAATAGCTTTTTTTTATCGAAGTACATATTTTAGGTTTTGCATTTAATTTAAACAAAATTTTTATACAGCTGTGAAAATTGACATACCATAAATAAGAAAATTGATTTTTGAAAATTTTGGCAGTTTGATTGATACCAATATATGAGGTGAAGCAAATATTCATAAATTGTTTGAATAAATTAAATTATAATTAATAAATGTATTTAGTGTTTTTTTGTTTTGTTTTATTTATTTTGTATAAAGTATTATATTTTTCTATAGAACAATGCTTAGCTTGAAAGAGCAAAGCTGAACTAAAAGAAATATTCCCTTCACCAAATTGAAGTATTTAATTAAATGATTACTTTTTTTCCTCTTTAATTATGGTTTAATTTTTTTTCTCATAACTTAAATAATGTCAATTTACAGAATGGAAAGTAATCTCACAAAGAGATGTGGCCCTTTGTGTGTTCCTTAAGAGTTTGGGTTTGTATTATTTTATATGCTGGAAATATGAATATACTTGAATGGTTTTGTTATCTTAAAAAAACATTATTGTTTTATACTGAATAATTTTTATAATTTAATGATCGTTCAAGAAATTAACCTACGTAGATATCATCTATTTATATTATGAGGGGAAGAGATTTATGTGCTTCAATCATAATTTTTTTTTTGATAATCAAAGATAGCACGAGCTTAATAATATTAATTTTATATTTATAATTCATTTTAAGTTATAAGTACAATTTACACTTAGGGTGTGTTTGGTATGAAGGAAAATGTTTTTCATGGAAAATGTTTTCTTGGAAAACAAGTTGATTTTTGACTTATTTTCTCATGTTTAGTTGGTGAGTAGAAAATTTTTTCGAAAAAGATTTTTAGTGTTTGATTTATGAATGAAAACTGTTTTTGAAAAAATTCTTTTATTTTTACTAGAGTAGAAAATAATTGTTAAAATTGAAAATATTTTTTAAAAACAAACTTAATAATTTTTTTTTGGGGGTGGGGGGTGGTGGGGGTCGAGGGTAGGGGTGAAAAATTGAAATTTTGAAGTTAAAAATATTTTTTAAAACAAACTTAAAAATTTTTTTGGGAGTGGGGGGGCTGGTAGGGGGTGGGTGGGGGTGGGGGGGGACTGTAAGGCGTGGGTGGGGGGTCGAGGGTAGGGGTGAAAAATTGAAATTTTAAAGTTAAAAATATTTTTTAAAAACAAACTTAATTTTATTTTTGGGGGGCTGGTAGGGGTTGGGTGGGTGGGGGGTCGAGGGTAGGGGTGAAAAAATGAAATTTTGAAGTTCAAAATATTTTTTAAAAATAAACTTAAAATTTTTTTTTGGGTGGGGGGGACTGGTAGGGGGTGGGTGGGTGGGGGGGTCGAGGGTAGGGGTGGAAAAAATGAAATTTTGAAGTCGAAAATATTTTTTAAAAACAAATTAATTTTTTTTTTTTGGGGGTGAGAGGGCTGGTAGGGCGGGGGGGGGGGTCGAGGGTAGGGGTGAAAAAATGAAATTTTGAAGTCGAAAATATTTTTTAAAAACAAACTTAAATTTTTTTTTTGGGTGTAGGGGGGCTGGTAGGGGGTGGGTGGGGGCTGGGTAAGGGGGTCGAGGGTAAGGGTGAAAAAATGAAATAATATTTTTTTTAAATAAACTTAAATTTTTTTCTTTTTGAAGGGAGTGAAGGGCTGATAGGGGGATGTGGGGGGGGGGGGGGGGCGAGGGTAGGAGGTGGGGGTGTAAAAAAATAAAAAATTGAAATTAGAAATATCTTTTAAAAACAACTTTTAATATTTTTTTGGAGGGGTGGTGGTAGGGGTTGGGGTAGGGGTGAGGGTGGGGTAAAGATATTGAATTTAAAAATAAACTTTAATTTTTTATTTTTTTTGGGGTGGTTGGGGGGAGGGGCTGGTTTGAGGGTAGGGACCAAATAAATTGATTTTTTCAACAATTTTTTTTAAATTAGAAGTTGGAAGAGAGTTTTGGAAAATGTTTTCCTTAAGTTTTGAAGGGAAGTCATTTTCCTTAAATTTGAGGAAAATGAGTTGATTTGGAAAACATTTAATCCAACCAAACATGAAATTTTTTTTGAATGAAATATATATATATATAAATCATATAATATAAACTAATTCGCATTATTTTTAAGTCTTTTTTAATAAGTTAAGAATATTTTAAATATTTTTCTATTTTTTAATACGTTAAGAATATTTTTAAGAAAAAAAATGATTAGGATTTAGTCCATCAACCTACTAATTGACAAAGGCATGTGTTTTCTTTATTAATCGTATATATATATATTTAAAAATCATATAATATAAACTAATTCGCATTATTTTTAAGTCTTTTTTAATAAGTTAAGAATATTTTAAATATTTTTCTATTTTTTAATACGTTAAGAATATTTTTAAGAAAAAAAATGATTAGGATTTAGTCCATCAACCTACTAATTGACAAAGGCATGTGTTTTCTTTATTAATCGGTTGAATTGTTGTTGTACATTATGAAATGATTATCCACTTTCCTATTTTTGGAAGTTACTTGCAACTAGATTAAATGGTCCAATCAAAGAAAAAACCTAGAGATAAATGGAATCTAAAGGGGAAAAACAAAAAACCTATTTTGGTATATATTTTTATAATATATACCAATAATCTTTTTAAAAAATTATTTCACTTACAAAATCTAATTTTAATTTCATATATTCTTAGTAAGTGAAATATCTATAAAAGGTGAGAAATATTTGAACTGTGATCTTTCGTGTTTGAATTTACATAACGTTAAAAATAAAATGCAAAGAAGCAAGAAGTTAGACAAATAATTATCCAACATAATTGATTTGACGCTTGTATTTCACACTTTGCTATTTCTGTGAATAGTCATAACATCACTCTGAAAATATGATGTCTTTTAGTTTGAATCACTAAATATTTTTACTTCTATTTTAAATCTCTATATCTATCAAGTGAATCAAATCAATTAAGGAAAAATTGGAGCAAATATGTTT